TTTAATGGCTGCAGCATGTGTCAAAAAAGCAGGGATAGTAGCAACAGAAGACTAATACTAATTAGGTTAACTGTTTTCAGGCCATTAGAACCGATTTTAGAAAATACGACATCTACAAATTGTGGAACAGTTTCAGAATAATGTCCCTAAACATGAATCTGGAGAAATCTCTGTGCACATGTGACAAGGTGGAATATCAATAATTGATGCCTGTCATGATTCTGTCATGGAGGTCACTTCATCAGCTCAGGAACACAGTTTACTGTGCCATCCACAAATACATGGAAACCATACTGGCTGAACCAAAGAGGACCATCAGGCTCAGTACAGATGCCTGTATCTGTGATGGTAAAGTGTTGCATTAATTAGTGCTTATGGAACTGGCAGCTTGCATCTTTAAAGACGCTTTCAATGCTAGCCAGGTTAAAGGAAAGTCAACTTTATGACACTGCAGACTCTGACTTCAAGCTCACTAATGCATTAATGGCACTTTGTACTGCACTCATTTTGACTGTATTCTGAAGAGGAGAAACAGAGAGTCAATAAGATGGTACTAAGATCACATTTAAAGACTCTGCATGACTCAGTGGAAAATATCTCACATCCTTCCCTTGTCTGTGGTCACTGGTGTGAAGTGGCGTCGATGCTTAAAAAAACAAAACAACCACAACTCACAACAGTGTTTGGTTTTTTTTTAGGTCAAGAAACTGTTTAATTCCAGGCACGGATGTAGGAGGTAATTTCCTGTGAAATTATTTTTCCAATCGTTTAAGAAATTAAACAATAAAATCTAAAAGTGCAAATAGTGGACTGCTAATGCAAGTAGCTTACTCAGTTCATCAGCTGGCAAAGTGAATGAAGAGAAAACTTAAAATTCATGATGAGGGCATTTTAAAAGAGAAGTGCAGTGCTTAAAAAATGCTTCAAAAGACACTAACAGTACACATGAGCCAAGTTTAAACTCAGCAAACTCCTACTGGTTGGAGCTGCCCATGCTGGCAGTCCACACCTCTAATTTTAAAAAGGCTGTAATAAAAACAAGAATAGATAAGTCCTAAAGTAGAAAAAACATCTCCCTCATCCAGATTAGGTTAACTGGGGATTCAAAATTGCCCAAAGGTGTACATGTGAGTGTGAATGGCTTTCTGTCTCTATGTACTGTCTCTGCAGAAGACATTGTTGAACCCCTCTCCCCACAGCCCAACCTGTTTGGAATAAGTTAACACATTGCTCCAGTGTTGTTGTTGTTGTTGTTGTTTTTTTGAATACGTATCATTTAATGTGTAGCACCTGTGCTTGTCAGTATAAATGGCTCTGTAGAGACTACATCGATCAGGCATAACATGACCACCTGCCTAATATTATGTCTGCCTCTTTTTCTGCTATAACAGTAAACAATTCCAATGCACTGTGTATTCTGAAACCTTTTTATGTGAACCAGTCTTACCTTTTTTGGCAATTTGAGCAAAAGTAAGTCATCTGTTGGATCAAAACATGTGGGCCAGGCTTTGCTTCTCATGTGTAAAATGGCCTGTATTTGTATAGCGCTTTACACTACATTCAGTCATTGGTGATGGCAAGCTGCATTGTAGCCACAGCTGCCCTGGGGCGTGCTGACAGAGGCGAGGCTGCCGGACACTGGGGCCACCGGGCC